GTGAAGGTTTTGAATATTCGGCAACTTTTAAATGTATCCAAGTATCGAAGTGGTGAACTTTCTATGTCGCTGCTTATACGTTTCAATAATCATGAGCTGCACTACTTGTCAGCCGTAATCTCAAGTTAAGCTATTCGCGTACTATATATTTTAATTTTAACTAGCCTTTGTTGTAAATTGAATGTACCTACACGCGTTGGAGTATTCTTTATTCGATACAAATATCTCTCTCTAGTAGTACTGATCAATAATTACGTAGCTACAGGTTAGTTGATAAACAATACTAGTCACAGCTACTCCCTATTTTCTTCTAAAAGGTCGACGATCAGTTCTTGCTTAGCGATGACACGATATTTCACTCTCAACTTTCGAAGTCAGCATTTGATTTGATTTATAGTTGCGTATTCATGGGGTTGAAATAATTTTTAACCGTTACTATTGTCTCTTTCAGTACGTATGTGCTGCTGTACTTGCTCAGGTGTCAGATTTGCCCGAGTCTTTTGTGAATTAAGCCACATGTCTTCGATAAAGGTTTTTGTCTTTTCACTCATCAGCGCATTATGTTTGCTAGTGTGTAAAACCCATCCTGGCAATGAGAAATGTTGATAGTGAACCGAACCAGACATATCGATATGTGATGAGCTTTTAGTTTTCTTCATTTTCGTTTTCTGTTGTTGTAATTGAATATTTGTCGATCGTACAGTCTCGATCAGATGAAGTCGAGCGATATCATTGGTTGTTCTTGGGTTTGTTGGTGGAATCGTATAAGATTCCACCACCAGGATGATAGTAGGATTGTTGATCAGACATGATTACACATGAAAATGATTTTTGTTAATGACTCTTCTCTATTTATCATTCTTTTTTCCTCCTTTTCCTTGTTTTCTCTTCTTCTTCCTTCTCTTTCTCACCTCCGTCATGCTTGATTAATCTCAATCTCATCAACGAGACAATGCATAGTGAGATATACAGTACAGAACGAAAGATTCAATATTTTCTCAACGATATCGCACAATTAATTATTGACTCTTCAGGTTATGCGGCACACTTAAAGAAACTTTTTTACGTTAAGTGTGTGAAAACAAATATTTCTTCCTTGTTCAAAATACTCACAATCTATTATTCAAGTACAGTTGCTTCAAAACTGCACAGAAACTTTATATTTTGAAGCCATGAACAATTGGGTCTCTAGCCCTTCCCCTGCTTCCCATGCACCCTCTACCATTTTTTGAATATAAACACGTATTTGATATTATCAATATCGTTTTCTCCATGAAAATTTACCTAAGCGCGATAATTAAATCCTTTTCTCATCACATCACTGCTAAGATTTTGGCTCAAAAGTCATTTACTCAACACAGGGGTAACCGCGCAGCCCTTATGGCCAAGGCTCCCATAGAGATTTCACGCTGATTTTTGCACCAAGTTGTAGACCAAAAATGAGTGTGTTAGGGCCAACTACTCCACTTATTAGCTGTTGCATATTTTTTGATACCATCAACGTCCAAAATTGCGATTTTACGAAAAATCGGATTTTGCTCAGGTTGGTACAAATGAAGGCTTTGGTCAAGAAAGCTGAAAATTTTACTAAAATAACATATCATTGAGATCTCTTCGAAAAAAAGTTTGAAGCCTTCATCATGTACGAGTTTCCAGATACAGGACCACAAAAATGGGGAAAATGAGCATTTTAACATCCCCAAAGGGTATTTTCAGAAAATCAACGGTACAACCATTTTGCTTGCAATTTTTTCTGCTGATAGCATCATTAGCTATCAGTGTTCATACAAAATTGCTGTTCAATCGGTTGAGCAGTTTTAGAGATACAGCAGTAACAACGAATGGTCTTCTCATGACCGTGAATTTTGAAGCTTTTCGTTAAAATTCAATAAAAAGTCAGTGGAGCGATATTTTTTTATGCGATTTTCGGTAAACATCATCAAACAGTTCTCTCTATCACATATGTAAAAATGAACAAAATCGGAAATGGTCGATTGAGCACTCCAAGTCGTGGCTTACATGGAATGGCTCATAAGATGAACAAGAAGAGATTAAATATAGGACAATTATATACTATCGACGATGTTTCAATTTTTAAATCTAACTGATATATTTTGTCATTGATGGAGACCTTAGATTGAAAAAGAAAAAATTGTTCCTATTCTTAATCTGGAATAGTTCTCTTGGTATTAGTTGACCATATTCATAGAATTATTCGTCGTTCATCTATAATATTTTCCAATATTCTGACGAATACTTTTGAAATATAGTTGTTATGGTTTTTCTCCTAAGCAATATGATGTCTGTAAAAACTACAGTAACCAGAATAGTTGATGAACAATTTCTTTATTGTTAAAAGCATATGATCAATCGAAAAATGTTCAGTTATTATTTTTAGATTAACGACAGTTATAAAAGTAAGAAAATGTGTAAAATATTGAGCTGTGTCGATCTCATAGAGATTTTCGTTTTTTGATTTTGTCGCGATTTATTTTAAATATATGATGAATAAAGTAACTGGTATTTTCAAGAAATTTTCCTTTTTTTGTTGACGTTATGATAAATCTTGGATGAAAATTTTATGATTCATTTATTTATAGAATGAAAGAGGTATTGCACAATGTTAAAGAAATATTTATAATTGTCGATTTTATAAAATGTTTAAGATAAATAAATAATAAATAGAAGAAAATGTCTGTAGAAAATGATATATTTTCAAATAAATCTTATCTTAAAGAAATAAATAAAAATTTTTCATATTTAATTGAATTGATTCAATCAACTTGTAAACCATTACGATTATGTTCAAAAGAGTCAGTTGAAATAAAAGAAATGTCATTTGAATATTTACAAGAATTCAATGGATCAAATCAACAAAGACAAATTGATTTATTATCAATAATTAATAATATAGATAAATTATGGATATTTTTATCATTAAATCCAACATCTTATGATACTCAGAATTTTCTTGAAGAACTTTATCACTTAACATTTAATTCATTTCAAGTTAAACAACATTTAGGTTATTTTAAATTCTAATATACGTATATTCTATTTGAAGAAAATTTTTTTTTAATGTTTTTATTTAGCATATCATTGTGAAGATTTTCTATTAATATTGTCTGTTTGTTATGATGATGATTTTCGATTTGCTTGTTTTAAATTATTAAGTTTATTGATAAATGATATTCAACCAGTGAATAGAAAAAGAATTTTATATTTAAATCGTATATGTTATGAATCTCTTTATGATTTTCATATTTATTATGATAAAATTAAGCTTTTTACTATTCAATCAAATATAATTGATTTGACAAAACAAGATATCGATGATTTAATAAATAGACAAATAATTCGAAAAGATTTAGAAGAAAAAATAGTTGAATCAATAGAAGAATTAGGTGGATATGTTTTCATTAAAATGCAACGAAGTCCAAAAGATGCTTATCAAAGTAAATCTTTTGTTTTTTCCTTTTTTAATCTAAAAAAAAATAAAATATTTATTTGTTAAAGATCTTTGTAAAGAAATCAATGGTGAATGGTTTCGTTATTGGAATTTAAAACTAGATGAAGATCCTCGTTTATATTTTATGAGAGTAGAAAATATCGAACAATTAAAATTACTTTTTAAAACAAGTGATCGTATTCGAGAAGATTTTCAAGAAATATATTCAAATGGAAAATTAATTTTACGAAAATGGATTAATTCAATTGGAAATGAATATCGATGTTTTATTTGCAATAAAAAATTAAATGCTGTTTCATCATATAATATTAATCAATCAATAATAAAAAATGAAAAAAAAATAAAAGATTTAATTAATTCAAATTTATTTAAAGATATTATTTATAAAATTCCATATAGTCATGCTGTTGTTGATTGTTCAATTGATGAAATTAGTTCGAATGTTACTATTATTGAAATAAATCCATTTAGTAAAAGATCATCAGCAGGAAAATATTCGTGGACTATTGATAAAAATATTTTATATTATTATTATCAATATAATCAATCTGTTTCAATTCAATTATAAATAATCGATTTTTTTTTTGTTTTTCATTTTCTTTATTATTCTTATTTTAGAAGATTTATTAAATATAATTATTATCATTTAGTTGTTTTAATAATAATATTAATAATAATAATTTATTTTATTTTCATAACCGGGTGAGTCAAAATGATTGCAACATGTAGTATTTTGTAAATATCTCAGCAGAGATAAATCATATAATCTTGATTCTTTTTTTAAAAGATGCGCCGTGTAAAGCTCTACAAAAATTGTAAGAACAAATCTCTATTGACTTATTCTGATAGTGTCTCCCATATTGAAAATGACTAGCTCACATGATAGTGCTATGTCCCACCGTATTAAATATTTAGAAGACTTTTCCGTTTTGTAATAGAAAGTTGTTCATATAGCTTTTATAGAGCTTTCGACGGCGCATCTTTTAAAAAAAGAATCAAGATTGTACAATTTATTCCTGCTACGATATTTGCAAAATACTAAATGTTGCAATCATTATAACTCACCCGGTATAAATATTATATTCATAAATATCAATAAGAAAACTATTTTAGGTTTATTAAATTATTTTAAAAATCGTCGAAAATTTGTAAATTAACTTGGAAATAAACATTCTATATTAATATATATATATATATATATATATGATAATATCTATTTAGAAAACTTTGACCAAATGAATTCGAAATAAATATAATCCATTGATTTATTTCTTGTATCTATGTCGAATCGATAATGTTTGATATTATTTTATTCAATTAGTTTTATTGTATATTGATATTGTTATATTGAATGAATTTCTATAATATTAATAAATGATTGATTATCAAATAAATTTAAGTTAATTAAATCGGAAACAATTATTTATCATCATTAATGAAATATATATATAAAACAATAAATTAAATTTTACTTAAATAAAAACAAACAAATTTATTTTTATCTTAAAAATATTCTATATTTAAATCATTTTATAGATTAACTTATATTTAATTTGATTTATATTTATAAACTATAATTAACATTATTGATTACTTATCTTATATTATTTATCCTGACACAAATTATGAAACCCATTTAAAAAAATTATTTAACTATTAAATTTCAATAAAACATTATTAAAATGAACATTTTATTTTAATATTGGACAATTCACAACTAGATTTAAAGAAAAAATAGATTTATTATATCTTAAATCATAATATATAAGTATAATAAATAAATAATTTTGATTTAAGAAAAATTGTGAAGAAAATCTTATTTGAAAAAGAAATTCTTATTAGTAATTTAATGATTTGATTGATTATAAATAAATAATGTTTTATATTTTAAATTTAGTTTTAAACGAAAATTTTCATAGTAGATTTATCTTTAAAATATATAATCAGAAACAAATATGCCCGCGGAAAAAAGAAATTGCACTCAGTATTTTAAGGAAATCTTTTCTATAATAAGATATTTTTTTTAAAAATTACTATATATTCTGAAAGCGCGTGGAGTTTTCTATCAGCCTGTATATTTGCCTTTTCGTTTGAATATATGTTTTACCAAAAAAAATTGAGTGTAATGAAGACACCATCATAGCCAAATTTCCACAGGCTTGATTTTGTCACTATCACAAAAATTAGTTTTTTAAATTTTTCATCNTTCTCGTTAAATACCTAGGTATAGGTCGAAAAATCAGTAAAACGACCATAACTTTTCAAGGAAGAGCTGTCAGCCCAAATCCTTTTAGGCTTTTTGCTATCTCGATACCCTCTATCAAACGACGTACGAATGAAGAGAATCGGCGTTGGACACCTCGGGAGGTTCCCTCGTCAGCGAAATCATTGAGATCTTATCGTGTAGAGTCAAAGCAAATACGAATGTCAAATATTATTTTGTTTAGAATAATTGACAAAAGCTCACTGGAGCGCTAAGTTTCATCTAGACTACTCTTATAGTGGTGTAGGTTGTAGTGCGCTTTAAAGTACACTCCGTCCCAAGGAATATACTGTAAAAAAAAATCCGTAGAATAATAAACGGAAAAACGTTTTTGAGAGGGTATTAAACAAAAAAAAAAGTTTATAAAAGTGCAACGAGACATAAACTATTTTTTCGTATATCATGAAGATAATAAACGGTTTTTACGTTTATGATTTGGAAAAAGGGTTTATCAGATATTTCAAAAATGGAAAAGAGGGTTTGTGTCCGGTTGCATTTTCATAAACCCTTAGTTTTTTACAGTGTATTACTTAAAAGGTTTATCAGCTAAATTGATTCAATACTCAGAGTGATTCAAAATGGTAGAAATTTCGTACGATAAACAGCACTCAATGCTCCATATCCTTTTGAACTCGTGATAATAAAACGTAGAGCAACTCAGTGTAAGTAATATTGTAATAAATTTTCAAAAATAATATCATTTTGATGCTAGTTAAATACAGTTTGAAGAAAAAAACTAGAATTATAAGGGTGTGGGTGTGGATGTGGGTGTGGGTGTATGCTAGTGTAGAAGATGACACCCAAACCCATACCCACACCCACTTTCCCTCAAGTTCACAGTACATTACAGCGTGTACAATCATAACAATAACTCATGGGAAGGGGGCAAAACATCGAAAGTGAAAACGTCGAAAAGCAAGACACCGAAAATTACAAACTTTATAGGCACAATATCCACGTCTTGCTCGAACGCACCGTAAAGAAATCAGTAAAGGACAACGAGCACGTAGTTCAATAGCGTGCGTGAGGGCAAAATCTGTGGCTTCTGCTTCATTTTTGCGATTTTCGAAAAAAATTATTTTCGAGATTTTGCCTTTCGACGTTTTGACTGGCGATGTTTTGCCACCTATTCGAACTCATCAACACACCATCACCGTTCCATTTATTACTGTCAACAGAATATTCATTATTTCAACCTTCATCTCAATGCCAGTAAAAGTCTAAGAAGAGCTATTGATACTAAAAGATATTTTTTTAGAAATAGTTTGAAAATAATGTACTGATATCTTGGTATGAGATCAAGGAATGTTGTCGCTTACGTTTTTTCTGAGGGCAGCAATGCCAAGGAAAAATAAAAACTAGCACAATAACTTTGAACGAAGACTATACGGATGAAGGCGACCCTACTCTTTGGTTAAGTTTATCAACTATAAAGTTCACGCAATATCTCTGAAGCTTCATTATAGATAAGTTGAGAAAGATACTAAATGTAGTGTTTCAGAAGTCGATAGCACATTCTGCCTGCTCTAAGCTGATTTCCTTACTTAAACCTTTCTTACATTTCATTCTTTTCTTACCAAAACGTTTTTCTAACAAAACTCGATACTTTAACTTCAAAAAGTTTAAAGTTAAATTATAAAATAGTACTTTAAACTTAAACCACTTTGACATTTAAAGTTTCAGGTTCAAGTGCCACCCTACCCAAGGGTACTCCTAATATTTAGTAGATGATTGCCTATGGATGACGCCGTTTCACAGTGTATGAAGAGTTATGGTTACTTCCATAAATGTTCATTCACTTGGATGAATTTTTAAGGAATTTTTTTTTATAATAAAACATTTACTTTAACTTTAAATTTTTTAAAGTTAAAGTTTAAACTTAAAGTGCCACTCCTAATCG